CCCCAAAACCCCAAAACCCCAAAACCCCAAAACCCCTATAACCTAGTCAAAGTTGAACTTTATAATAATTTCTAATCCTAATATGAACAACTTGCGTTTGAACAAAGAGTCAAGCTACAACAGAAGCTTTGAAAGGGAAAATGGATACAACCCTTTGTACTTTGGACATAATAATTCTATTACTGATTTTTCTAATAACCCAATGAGAAAGGATCAACCTGGTAGACAGATAAATCTTTTCGTTGAACTGGCTGACGAAGCTAATAATAATGGAAAGCCTGATGAGCCCTTGAACATCGGGTTTTTACAAAAGAACGGAAGCTCTGTTAGGCCATCTTTCTTCAAAGATAGGTCATGTAATAGTACGTTCTCTTTGAATGTGAATACTGGCAATGATATCTGATTTCACAATCCTATTCCTATCAAGCCAAAGTTTGATGAGGGAATGCCGAGGATGCAATTCCTCAGAAGAGACTCATCAATTAAGGAATCTCCAAGGTTTGAAAACAGCTTTGTTCCAAGTTATTTTCCGCCTAAAATTGAACCAAAAGAGGAAGAAAATACAGTGCAACAAGATTCAGGTGATCTCTGGGTCAAAAACCAGGAGGATATGTACGATAAGAAAGAATTCAACTGGAACAATGAGGTTGAAGGCCTTCTTGATTCTGAAGATGAGCTCCAGCTTCCTGAAAATCAGAAACCTAAGAAAACTAGAGCTGCTAAGCCAGCTCAAACTCCAAATGTGAATATCAGGAGACACAGGAAAAAGTCTAAGAAACAATTGGAGGTTCTCAACTCATACTTCAATATGGACGAGGAATGGACACTTGATTTGGTAGAGAAGCTTTCAACTGATCTCAATCTGGAAAAAGACCAGGTTTATAAATGGAACTGGGATAAGAGGAAGAGGCTCAGAAAAAAGCAGGAAAAACAGCAAAAGGCATCAGCCCTCAGAAATAAATAAAGATCAACTCTTGTTACAAGATTAGAAGAAGGACGAGCACTGGGGGAAATTTGAAAGCGCTTCTTTCTATCTATATTTAATATAATTCTAAGAAAGTATTACAAACTTACTGTTAAAAGCTTTATTCGGTTCTTTTAAATAAATTTAGTACTGCTTTAGCTGTTAGTTTCTTCAAAAATTGAACTTTCTGAATTAAATTCACCAAACAGAGAGAATAAGAATACAAATAATTTTCTGCTCCTGTAGATCATGGATCTTACCAATAGAATCATTAATATTTTATCTTTGCTAAATGGAGAAAAGATGATAGCTCTCTTGTGATAAGTTTGTCCTAGAATATTTCTATTCCTTGCTTTTATGATTGCTATTTCAAAGAAATTCTGCCATCAGCGCTCTAATTCATATCTAAAGTCACTATATATCATCAGACCCGAAAGTAAGATCCTTTGTAGGAATCTGACATCTAAGATGATAGTTTTATATAGTGAGGTATAAGAATGATGCTAACCATTCTTGTAGTGTAGTCATCAAGGTTCTGAAAGTTATAGTTCAAACATCACACTAATAGTGTCAGGTTTTTGTCTTTTTAATAACTCATAACATGTGAAAAGTATATTAGCACAAGAAATCTATCTTTCAAAATAATTTATTTGATATTTAAAACATTTTATTGTACTCAAAGCTTAATTTCTCTTCTGATAAACTAGTCAAGGAACGTGTGAATAGCTTTGAATTGAATTTCATTTAGAAAATCTCATTAAGTTATAGAAGGGATATATCTAGCAATATTTCTAAAATATTGCTCCATGTAACGTGGGGTCACCAACTTGTAAACTAGATGTTTCTGGAGTAATTTTGCCTTAAATTAATTAGTTCAGTTTATAAAAATCAAATAGGGGTTTTGGGGTTTTGGGGTTTTGGGGTTTTGGGG